ATTTAACACACTAGTGAAAGCACCTAGATGGCACCAAGTGTAAGATTCAGGGAGCTTGGGAAAGTTAATCAAAACAACCAGAATTCAACAACTAAAAACAACAGCACCACGTACTCCTCTATAATAATTACAATCAAGCTTCCTGAGTCCCTTCTGATGTTTCTATTTCTACAGTGAAAAGAGAAACAACCAATTTCTGAAACCACTAGTGGGAAAACCAGCAGCAACCTTGATAGAGAGGACCATAGAGGATGCAGTGTAGTGGGTTGCATGGTATGGCTTTTCTAGCCATAGTCAAAACTCCCGCTTGAGTTTGCGCCAGGGCAAACAGGAGGTACAAGGGCAGCTGGTAGTAGTAATTTCCTATAATGAGACTGGTAATTAACTCTGTGATGGAATTTGCCATGAGCAACTGAGTAGCTGCTTTTAAACTCCTGATTGTTAAAGTCATCCACCTGGGGTATTTCTGTTAGTGCAGCATAAAGTACTCTTCTACATGCTCTCAAATGTGTAGAATTCTGATGCTGGGATTGGTTAGTTTTGCTACTCTGCTAAGCTTAAAATGAGCCCTCTTAGAGGCAGAGGAGGAATCTGACTGCTGGCTGAGAGAGACATGCTGCTCAGAGAGACACACTGCTGAGAGAGAGATGCCTGGCTGAGAGAAGGATGCCTGGCTGAAACAGAAACATCAGCTAAGAGATGGTGGCAGTGGAACCAACAGGCATGAGACAGAGCAGCAGGCTCCACAGAGGCAGAAGCCAGGCCAAGCGGTCAAGGGCCAGAGAGCCTTGTCCAAGGGCACAGTAGAGGGGAGACTGTCTTGACCGAAGAGCACATTCTCAATATGAATTGAACACATTCCTGAGCACATTCCTGAATATGAATTGTAACCTGTTGCTTCCCTAATAAACTCCATAACTGTAAGTTCTGTGTGGCCACGGCAGCAAATCATCAAACCCAGCAAAGAGGTGGTGAGTGCTGTGGCAGGGACGGCTGGTGTCAGGGTTGTTAAGAGGCCTGGAAGGTGGCAGCATGTCTAGCCTCATAGGAACAGGCCTTGTGCTGCTGATGGTGATTCTGTCTTCCTCTTGTGAAGTTAGAGGAGGTCAGAAGATGCCGCCTCCCTGTCCCTTTAGCAGAGGATCGTTCAATATTGATTAAAACATTACTGCTGTTGTTATGTGCCATTGAGCTGATTACAATTCATAGTGACCCCATGTGACAGAACAGAACTGTTCCATAGGGTTTTCTTGGAGATATATATATATATAAAAGCTCTGGTAGCATAGTGCCTAAGTCACTTGACTGCTAACTAGAAGGCTGGCGGTTCAAACCCATCAGCCACTCCTCAGAAGGAAGATGGGGCAATCTACATCTGTAGTGATACTGCCTCGGAAACCCAAGGAGGGGTCGCTATGAGTCGGGTCTGACTTGACGGCACTTAACAACAACAACTATATATATATAAACTTAATAGCTATTCCTTTTTATTGCTCAGTAATATTCCATTGTATAGAATACCAGTTTGTTTATCCATTCACCATCTTGGCTATTATGAATAAAGGTGCTGTCACAGAGGTCAAGGGAGAGAGTCACAAAGGAGTCAAAGAGGCTTGAAAAGTGTGCTTGGTATCTGGCAATATTAAAGAAACTGCCTATGCTCACCTCTCATGCACTTTATGCTGTCAGTATCAGTCTCACAGAGCTACAGGATCGCAGAGTTCAAATATAAAATCTAACTCTATTTTACATGGGGGTGTGGGAGGATGGGGATTCAGGGAAGCCTGAGGTCACACAGGTCACACTCAGAGGCCAGTGCTTGTGCTGCCCTGCCACAGCTTGTTCCCACCCCCTCCCCGGTTATGTGTGCCTAACAAATTCTTTTCCAAGGCAGGCAGCAGAGAAAGAGCTCTAGGCCTAAAATGTTTAGCCTCACTCCCTACTTCAAAGTGCATGTTAACAGGCCTGAGGATTTCACTCAGTGTTAAAGCCCACCACCTCAAAAAAGAAAAAAAAAAAACCACCACCTACTGCCATAGAGTTGATTCCGACTCACAGAGACACTATAGGACGGAGCAGAACCGCCTCATAGGGTTTCCAAGGCTGAAGATCTTTACAGAAGCAAACTGTTTCATCATTCTCCCAAGGAGTGGCTGGTAGGTTCAAACAGCTGCTCTTTTGTTAGCAGCCAAATGTTTTTAACCACCATACCACCAGATTCCTTACAGACAACTAGGAATAAAGGATCAGTACATACTCAGAGCAGTGGCCTATAGTCACTCTAGCCTGTTCTGCAACTGCCCACACAAGGGGGCCTTTCCTGCCTCTTCATCCCTCAGCTTGTTGTTCCCTCTTCTAGGCTGCCCTCAAGCTCCATCCTCTGCCTGGAATGTCTGGAATGTCCTTCATACTGCCTTCATCCCATGTCCCACCTGTCCTTCAAAACCTAACTTTTCCAGATAACTCCAACCACCACTGCCTGATCCTACTTTCTGATTGTACATTAAGCCACTTGATTCTTTTATATTCATCACTTTGTTATAAAGGGTTTTATATTTCACCTCTTTCCGTTTCAAGTCTAAATACAGTGAAATCTGTGAGGGCCAGAACTTGATCAGACAGTTATTTTTCTGAGTCTCACAAGTTTTCCACCCCTGTAGGGTGCAGTCTGACCACTCTTCTATCGCTCATTTTAGTGGAAAATATTTTTGTTTTCCTTCTCTGACAGGTTTCTACCTTACAAAGGTCTTGGCTTTTGCAGGATTTACTGCATTGCATTTATATCCTTCATGAAGAATACTTTCAACACCTTGAGGGTAGGAATTATGTGATAACTATATTGCTCCCCAAAGAACTACATACTTGCACTATGCTAGGTTCATAGTAAAGGTCCACTGAGATGCATCTTCCTTTTCTCACTAAGGAAAAGAGCTGACTGTGGGCAGAGTTACTCTGGAGAAGTCTGTCTGGTATACAACGATCTTTCTGTAAGCTAATCAATCACCTTAGTACAGACATGGACCACTTCATACCCACTGGGATGACTACAGTAAAAAAAAGATGGACAATAACAAATGTTTGTTAGGATATGAAGAAACTGGGGCACCCTACATTGCTAGTAAGAATGTAAAATGTTGCAGCTGCTTTGTAAAGTAATTACGCAATTCCTCAAAAAGTTAAAGTTACCATGCGACCTAACAATTCCACCCCAAATAAATGAAAACAAGGACTCAAACAAACACTTCTACACATATGTTCATAGCAATATTACTATAATAGCCAAAAAAAATGAAAATAGCACAAATGTCCATCAACTGATGAATGGCCAAATAAAATGTATATACATGTAATGGAATTATTCAGCCACAAAAGAAGAATGAAATACTGATACATGCTACAATGTGGACAGACCTTGAAAATATTATGTTAAGTGAAAGAAGACACGTATTGACATGTGGTCATATATTGTATAAGTACATTTATATGAGCTCTTCAGAATAAGCCTATCTATAGAAATAAGTAGATCACTGGTTGCCAGGGTCAAGTTGAGGAAAAGAGGGAATAGGGAGTGATTGCTACTGGATACAATGTTTCTTTATGGGGTGATGAAAATGTTCTGAAATTAGACAGTGGTGATGGTTGTACAGCCTTGTCATTATACTGAAAAACCACTAAATTGTATACTTTAAAAGAATGAATTTTGTGGCATGTAAATTATATCTAATTTTTTTTAATTAAAAGAAAAGAAATTCTAGTATGTTGCTGAGATCCTGAAACTTTAGGATGTGTAAGAACTACCTATGGTTCATATCAAGATATGAATTCCTGGGCCTCTCTGATAAGACCAAAACCAAACTCAATGCCATTGAGTTGATTCCGACTCACAGTGATCTTCACTGGGTTTCCAATGCTGTAAATCTTTACAGAAGCATCTTTCTGCCCTATCTTTCTGTTGCGGAGCAGCTGTTGGGTTCGAACCACCAACCTTTTGGTTAGCAGACAAACTGCCTTAACCAGGGCCTCTCTGATACCATTACTAAAATTTTGGCCCAATAGATTCAGTAACAGACAGAGCAATTTGCTTTTACCAAGCACACAAGAGGATTCTGATGCAAGTTATTAGCCATGAAGCATATTCCCTGAGACACAGGTAGAGTGAAAAGAAACTGTAATTTAGAATCAGAACAGCTAGATTTAGATTCTGGGACTAGTCATGTAACCTCTCTGCTCCTCAGTTTGCTAAACTATAAAATGGAAATAACAATCTCCCTTTAACAAGACCAAACCAAACCAAACAAAACCCACTGCTGTAGAGTCGATTCTGACTCATAGCGACCCCTCCTTGGGTTTCTGAGGCAGTATCTCTATGGAAGTAGTTTGCCCAATCTTTCTTCTGAGGAGGGGCTGCTGGGTGTGAACTGCCAGCATTCTGGTTACCAGTCAAATGCTTTAAGCACTACACCATGAGAGCTCCTATATAAAGCACCTAGTAGAGTACATGGTATATAGTCAATGTTCAATAAGTGCTAGTTGAATCCTAACCAGGTGCCAGTTTCATTCGACAAATATTGTCAAGTACCTACAATATGAAAGGCATGTTACAAAATTATGACAATTAGTGGGATAAATTTTTAAAATAATCAATTAATGGATTTTACAACATATGAAACAAATCTTAAAGACCACGCATCACTATTTACAAACTATTTAAATTTGCATATTATTTTTTCATGACCCTGGAAAAAGTGAATTTGGGGGTATATCAGGGAAATTACAAATAGCATATGTCCAGGCATCTGATGATTATAAAGAATTTCTAGAGGCTATTAGATAATAAAATCAATACCTGTATTATACATCTTCTTCCCCCACCCCCACTTTGTCTTTTCTCTCCCCAAGGCAAATGGAAGCTTTTAGGGATCATGCATTAAACTACTCTTACATCCTGGGGCAGCCAGGAAATAGTAAGAATGCACTTCATGAAACATGAAGTCTGTTACCTTCAAGTCACGGTGGATAATAGGAGTTTTGCACTGATGTAGGCGGGCAACAGCTTCACAGGTATCACAAAATATCTGGAGTACTTCATTCTCTGTGAAACCTGTTTGCAGGCGCTGATTCATCAGGTTTACCACCTGGCCTCCTGAGAGGGTGCAAAGAAGAGGTTATAAACATTCAGACTTATCACTAAGCCCACACAGGAGCCTGCTGGACAACAGTAACAAAGCTGATAAATGACAGAGACAGCATGGGGCCTGCTTCCTTACACCCTGGGCCCACCCTAATGTGTCAAAAGTTTTTTTATTTTATAAAACACCACAGATGTGAACTGCCCTCATTATGTCTTCAAGACTAGTAGTGGAACTGACAATATGGTCCTGCTATATACTGCCCAATTATGTATAAGATGAGGCCACAGACTCAATTTGTCATATCTTTTAGTAAGAATCATATCACACAATAGATACAAGGACCAGGAAGAGGACATGCTTATAGTCTGAACTTTATGCTTGGTCTCTGGTTTCATAACTTGCTGCTTGGCTGGTGGAAAATGTCCAGGACAAAATGTTAACGACAAATTATACAGATCGCTTGATGTTCCGTGAGTCGGAATTGACTCAACAAGTAATTTGGGATTTCTCACATGTTCCTATTGCCTGTCTCTAAACATTTAACAGGCAGCAGAGAACAAATCATCAAGTTCAAATTTGGTAGAATTTTACAGGATTGGGTTAATGTATTACAGTAGACATTAAAACCTCTGGTTACCATCACATTTTGAGTATCAGCAAAACAACTAATGCATGGTATCTTTAAAGACAGTGAAAAATGTTAGAGGTATAAGGTGATTACAAAACAGGGAACACTCAGACAATGACCCAGGCTTGCAGGTGGCAGCTACTTAGATCAAAAAAGTCAAACCTTTAAACAATGGTTGTATGAAATGCAGCCAACTCTGAATAAATTTTTGCTTAGTTATATCTAGATTTCCCAAGATAAATGTTGCTTAACACTTCAAACTTACTTAACACCACTGTTAACAGTATCACTGTGGCCTTACTGAGAACAGTAGAGCAAGGAGAGGCAAGCCATTTCTTCTAAAACAAGCCATTTCTTCTAGGATTCTTTTGTTCTATCACTTAAGGCTGGTGATGTGGGAGGAGAAGAGAATATGACAGCAAGAGGGCAGGAAGTGACATTGTTTTTCAGTCTACCTGGAGTTGGGTCTTTATTATAGGCAATCATCACATTTTGAAGCATCACAAAGAACACATTCATTCTCATTCATGTACAAGCACAAAACCTTCCTAAACTTAGCAAAAATGAAGTTTTGTATTATCCATTCACTTTGAATTTCCTTGTGCCACTGCTATATCAAGAATTGATAGAAGATACCATATCTTTTAAATTCTTAGTTTCTCATCTTTAAAACCAGAACAGCATACTTTAGGGTATAGCACACATTAAAAGATTGCAATCAAAATGCTAGAGAAATGAGAGCTTAAGAAGGTGGTTCATTTACTTACCTCTACAGAAGTCCATCAGAATGAGAACTTCCCACACGTCGCCACTACTCACGTTGTTGATACTAGAGTCGATGTAACCCACAATGTTCTTGTGCCCTGACAGGTCCCTCTGTGAACAAAAGTGCAGAAATACAATATCAATTAAAGGCATCAATCTGAATAGAATGTGCCAAAAAGTTCATTAACACAGATAATTTAAATACACAGAGATGATACTACCAGTGTTGAGAGGTAAGAGTAAGAAACAGTGTCATTAATAGGTTTCTATCCTCGTTGAGAGCAAAGAAGAAATCAAAAGACATATAAAAACAATTAGTCCAAGTGACTGGTACACCATGCGATCCTCAGCATATACGACTATGAGACCAGAAGAACTAGATGGTGCTCGGCTTCCACTGTCAACCACTTGGAGGGGGCTCTATCTAGGAGATCCTGGATAGAGTGGGAGAACAATGCGGAACAAAACTCAAAATCATTTAAAAAAACGGGGGGGACCAGGTTTGCTGGTTTGATAGACCCTGGTGAAACACCTGAGAGTATGGCCCCTAGCTGCCCTTCAGGTCTGGAACTGAACCCACTCCTGTGGTTTCCAGCCAAACCAAAGACAGGCATATGAGCTGAACATTTATATTAGGTAGATACACTCCTTAGAGTGATCAATCATGGGAGAATGGAAGGGCTGTGTATGCACAGGGAGACAGTTCAGAGGGCAGGAATGCACAGGAGGGAAGGACACAGGGAAGAGGTAAATATGGGGAGGAAGTGAGAGGGGAGCTGTTGCATTATGGGAAATTGCAGTCAATGTCATGAGACAAAATGTATGTGAACTGCTGCATGGAAAATGAATTTGCTCTGTAAACTTTCACCCAAATCACAATAATAATTTAAAGAAAGAATAGGTTTCCAGTGCTCTCTGAGATTCATGGATAAATATTAAATAGCAATTGTGCTACTAAACCACAGCACTCTCCTGTAACTAAACTCTAGAGTCAAATGCACACATGGTGTCTACTTTCTCACCACATCAGTGCCCCATGTAAACCAAAAGCAAAAACTCTCCAAAGCTTCCTAAACTTAACAAAAATGAAGTTTTGTATTATCCATCACTTTGAATGGACAATTATCCATCATTTGGAATGTCATACTCAGGAGTTGATAACAGACTCAGCATCTTTTAACCTCTGTATCTTTTAAACACTATAGAGGGGCTAAGAGGAGAGAGAAAATATGAATTATTTAAATACCTGAATTTTTCATTCAGAAAAATGAAACTGATGTTTTTCCTGCAAGCAGGGGCACTAGTGAATTCAACTTGACCTGTAAATGATTCACAGTGTTTCTCTTCTTTTAATAAACATATGAAAAGAAAAACTACTTTACAATTTGGAAAAGACTATGGGGGCCTCCAGTCCTAAGCATTTTGCTCCTAATTTTTTCAAGCCAACCAACTGAGATATAAGATGGGTCATGCTTTCAGCTCCCCCGTTGGAATCACATATGAGCTCTCAAGGTTGCTGAATGACTGGTACAATCATTTCAATGTCCACAGAAGCAAATCTTTGTAGTGACTATGTTCAAATTCCAAGGTCATTTACAATGAAAGAAGTTAGAGGAAAAAAAGTAAGCAAGCTGGGCAATATTGTTTTTGCACAGAAGTAAGTTAAGATTTTATTTAGTTTTTTAGTTGTAATAAATTATTACAAAAAAGTGGAGGGAAGAGGTCTGGAAAATTTGTGGTTCTATGACAGTCACCTACAAACCTGGCAGTTTGGATCATGAGAGCAGTACCTACTGCCACTCTAGCTGGAGATTCAGCTGTTTGATACCATAGATAAACTTCTTTCAATATGAAATTACATACCAAAACAAGAAGAAGCCTCAGAGTATCAAGTGACCACATCTGAACCCTGAGCATTAAGGTAAAAACTCAACAGAACTTTCCACTGAATGTGGGATTAAGAATGACTATTACCTCAGAAAGGTAAGACAAAGGTAGAAATGTCACCACTGGAATTGGCAATTAGCTATGCAAGAGCATTTCAGAGACGGGATGGGTTGGAGGTGAGAATGGAATTGGGCTTGCAAAGAATGGGAGCTGAGCAAGTAAAGCCAGACTACAGATTACTCTTCCAGAACATTTTGTGATCGAAGAATGGAGCAGCACTGAGGGAAGAATGGGAGAGAACTGAACACTGCAGGGTGAAAGGGACCAGAGGAGGAAAGCTTAAAGATACAGGAGCGGGCAAAGATGACTGATGCAACGAAGTCCTGGGAGCACGGTTAAAGGGACTGGCCTTTGAAAGATATTTCTTTTCTGGCCAGCAAGAAGACAGAGTTAGATATATATAGATTGGTTATGGATATATAGATAGGTTTAAGGCTGGAGAAAAAAGGAATTTGAGTGAGCTTAGATCTACTGTGTTTTGGCTATGTGTTTGTTTTGGTGAACAGCAAGGTAATCTTCCAAGTATAAGAGAATGAGAGAGGCATGCTGAGACAAATAAAAGGTTTAAAGCAAGTGCTTTGGATAACAGACAAGGAAGATGGTGAGGAAGAAAAGCAGTTTCTAGAGATTTCAAGTTTCTTCAAAATGGAAAGTGGCTTCAGGGCTCATGTTTTATAGGCCTACCCTTCTGTGATTTTTCAGTCTCATCACCAAAATTCTAAACCTTGTTTCTTTAGGCAGTCCTGAAAGTAAGACAAACTGGAGAGAAGGCTTTGAAACCAAAATGGAGATCATGTCCATAAATAGAAGTAAAAGACTAATATCTCTACATTTAACTATCTGAAAAAGAATCAGCAATGTTCCCTCTGAGCTCATTTCATCTGAGAGGAATAACAAATTAGTTATTTTGGGGTGGGGGTGGGGGATGGGGGTAGGGGATGACAACATTCAGTAGAGCCTAGAGAACAGAGGAGGTCAAGAGCTATTAGAGGACCAAAGCTGGGTAATTAACATCTGCAGATGGCTCCCTAGAACAGTTTGCCAAGATGTGTGCTGAACAGTTCAAGTCCAAATTCCTGTTCATTTTGTCGTCTGCAAAGATCCTTAGATATGTCCAAGCAAAAAAAAAAAAAAGGATCCACTCTTTGGAGGGAGACTATGCTGTTTACCTTGAACTACCTGATTAGTGTAACAACATCTCAGATTTTAGAATAAAAGCACACTGGTTTACAACTCTGACAGAGAAGATTTGTTTGAATGGCTGTGAAATATGGGAGATGTCAAGAGAAAATTTTACTGCAAATTGAGGCTGACCCATAGTTAGAGTACACTGGCAACAGCTCCTACACAGTTTTCAGTAGAAAGAGGCCAGAGGATGCCTGGGCTTTCCACAGGCTTTAGGTAAAAGACTGGTTCCAGGCTTACAGAGCCGAAACAGACACAGGGATATGGGCTGGGACTTACACTAGGAAGCATCTCAGCCAGCACTTGCTTACTTGGCAAGAGGCAGGGAAGATGTTTTGTTGCTCATGGGTATAACTATTACATGCAGTACTGGGTAAAAGTCTATGTGATAACTATAAGCCAAAATCTGATTTTCAGAGAAGTGTGAAGGGCATATTCAATTAAATGGTAGACTAAATCAGTTTATACCACATGACTTAAGCAATAATAAGCCTGAAGGGTGTGTCGCCATTTAAACTTTTGAGATTAACAATGGGTTGAAAAACACTGATTTACTTTATTAAATAGGTATTTTTAATGGTTTATATTTAGCTCATTAATGTTGACATTAATTTTGTTTGAAGTGCTGAAAACTCTTTTTCATAAACACACAAAAAAGCTACCATTTGAAAATCAGGCCTTTGACCCCGATCCTACAGATCATCACAAATTCCAACTTTATCTGTAGGTCCTAATTAACTTAATTAACCTAATTAACCAGATGTTCTGAAGCTTCAAAACCCCCGTGGCAGGAGAACTCCTGCTTAAGAATCTTAGGACCTTATAGGAAAACTGAGGCACCAATTCTTAAGTAAATCTATAAAAATCTTTACATGACACACCTTTTATGTTCAGGAGAACAAAAAAGGAACATTCTAAATAGCATATCAATAACATGCCACTCACTTCAAAAAGGTAGAAATAAGTTATTTCCCCATATATCATTTGCTCAGACCACCCCTGCTTGGTATTTCAACATAACTGCAAAGGTCTGATCCAGACAGGTCTTGCATTTATAGATGGTAAGTCTCCAAAGAGATATCTTTACCTGCTTTAAACCTCCATCCAAATATTCAACAGCTCTCCGATTTTATGAATCAGTACTATTGATCCTTACTTCTGGAATAATTCCACTCAGGTTCAGGGTTCTACAGACCCTCTTAACCAAATCTCTGTTACCTCTTTATTTAACAGTTCTAAAGCCTGGAATTTTATTTCTCAGAAGTCTGCTTTAAAAAAGTCTTCTCCTCGGTAGTTCATTCTCCCCTTTACCATTTTTCTCTCTATAACCCAGAATTTCTTTTACCATTCTTTTCACAGAGTAATTCACAGGGAAATGAAAACTATCAACTGCAGTGCAGTAGTTAAAACAAACACTTTGAAATCTTGGCTGGTCCTGGAGTTCTATTACCTGGCAAGATATCTGGAACCAAAAGCATTCCACTTTCTACACAACAAGCAGCCACTTACCTTTCTCCTCCCTACACAAACATTTCCCAAGACTTACTGATAAATTTACCTTGTACTTACTGAACAGACCTTTAAAGTCATCTAGAGTCTGATTCAATAGCACTAACAGTCAAACCTTAATATGCATATGAATCATCTGGAAATTTTATTAAAAAGCAGATTCTAATCCAGAAGCTTTGTTATAGGACCTGAGGTTCTAAATTTCTGACAGGTGATACTGATGCTGCTGGAAAGTGGCACTTTAGCAGCAAGGATCTAGAGAAGTTCTACTCTGATGTCCACAGACTTTTTCTAGTTAGTAAACTGTTACCTTTCCATAAGCATTTGGGGAGCTTTGTCAATAGCGTAAGTTGATCAAGTCACTAAGCTTTTTTTTTCCCTACCAAGACTTTTCCTATGAGGGAAGCAGTTCCTTGGTTTACATTCTGACACATGATCTTTAAGTAGCACTCATATATCTATGATCAATT